ACACCGTCTTGAGTTGAGAGCACGTCGAGGTACTTCAAGCCTGGCCCGATCGCAATTTGGAAGTGCCCAACAACTGTGATAGACGTAAGCATAGTCTCGGATGGGTTCGGAGTGACTGTAGAATGAGAAGTAGAAGTCTGGTGCTGATGAATTCCCTCTCGTCATAATCTCAGCCGTACGTGCAATTGGTTGTGACATCAACTTTTTCGTCCACCAACCGATGATCATTTCTTATCAAAGCACCTGCTTTACTCTTTTCGTCAAGGCTGGTGCTTCCTAAGGTCACGGTAGGTAACTTGTATTTGCTTGCCGTTGTGGGCTCTCTGGGTGACACTATGCGTGGCAAATGGCAGTATTCATTTTCGCCATTGACTTTCATACCTGACTCAGTATGGCGGACGCTTTGTGCTTGATGTGGGAGTCTTGATTGTGCTAGCGCTTACCACGCGTTGACGAGCATTCAGCATTGTTTGTTCTTTCCTCGGTTGTTGGTCTGTACACGCGTGTTTCCATGCGAAACAATCTTACATTCGTTAGGATTCATCTTGTCTGACTGGAACTACTAGTGGGACCTGTAACCCCTCCATATCTATCACTTGCATTCAATTTTTATGTTTGTGACCGTGCCCTTCAAAAATAACCGACAATAGTAGTCGCCAGCCAGCACCCACCCACTGTATTGTAGTCGCGCTTCTGAGTTAATGCTTTTAGTCGAGGACCTTAGTCGTTCGGGTGTAACATTCGGTGCCTGATATGTTTGTGACCGTGCCCTTCAAAAATAACCGACAATAGTAGTCGTATGCCAGCACCCACCCACTGTATTGTAGTCGCGCTTCTGAGTTAATGCTTTTAGTCGAGGACCTTAGTCGTTCGGGTGTAACATCCTTTCGGTGCCTGACTGCCATGCCACCTGAAGGAACCAAGAGGGCCCAGACTCTGCCAAGTGACCCAAGCATAGACAGGAGCAGTCAACATGCCTAGGTCGAGTTCAGCCACGGACCTTCCAGTAAGTTCGCGTTTCAACCACTGAGCTACCCCAAGGACCCTAGTCATCCTCTCGTCTAGATGAGAGCTTCCTAATATTCCAGTTTGTGTACAACTATGAACATCAAAAATGAAAATATTACCATGCCACATTACCCGGGTCACCTTGCTTACTGCACATAGTACTAGCTGACTGCTTTGTTCGCCATACATCGCGCTCAGCTGCAGCTTTTGTACGTCCGACTTCACTAACAACCTAAGACATCTCGAAGTTTGGTGTCAAACCCAGAAAGCCAGTCTACTTAGCTGCCTTTAGTGTTCGAACACAAAGAAGCACGACAAAAATCGACTCTTGTCCTTGCACTCGTCTGTGCTGTCTACCAGAAACAAAGATACAAAAAGCAAGTACTGTAATTGTAACTAAACGTCCGTCCGCTCTCTTCTCACTCCCGGCTGCGCACCTCTGATGACGCGGAGGTTGCTGTAGCTGGACATGTCACGGTGGGTATCGTGAGTGTCAGCCTCTAATTGAGTGACTGGCAATTGATAGTCGTCTCTGCGTGGTTCGTTTGGCAATATCTGTACAAGAATCTCGAGGGAGTGAGGTACGTCGCTCTATTTTTATTATCTGCGTCGCTCTGAATCAGCTAAAAACAATTTTCATGATGCACCAGGTGTTCTTTTACAACGGGCTTGACGCTCAGACATCGCTATGGTTGCGGGTGATATGAACGCTTAGGTAAATAGGCTACGCGCTGAGGAATCCCAAATGGTGGCCGTCTTGGGTTGAACAGAAAAGAGCGCCTGTTAGAGATGTGCGCGGATCAGACTGTAATGGTAATAATAATAAAAATAATAATAATAATAGTCGTTCAGCTGTAACACCCTACCGGTGTCTAGCTGCCATGCTACCCGAATGAAGCACGAAGTTTGGGATACTATCAGGTTGCCCAAGCCCACCCAGAAGCAGTCGAGATGCAGGTTCTGTTCGAAACACAGACCTTCCGGTCAGTAAGTTCACTCCTTAATCACTGAGCTCTCTCGAACTTGCAGCTCCTTTGCAACAATTTCCGGAACTGCGGAAATCGCTTGACAGCGTGGTAGCCACCAACGGACCAGCCACGAAACAAATAGATCACATTATCCCCAGTTGTCGGTGGTTAGTATCGATCGATGCCTACCGCTATCCTTTGGAATACCTGCGTGGATTCCAACCAAGAAATCGTCCGCTGCTGCTCTTTACGTCAACGCAAAACGCGCACCTCTTAATTAACCATTGATAAGCTCGTGGACCCAAAAGTTAAGAAAGCCTACTTGACCCGGCTGATTGGTCTGATGTCGGATATCCACAATAAGCAGAAACAGATATCAAAAGCTCCACTTATTAGTACAATCCGGCCAACCTCATCTAAACATTCGATCTCTGATAGAACTATGTCCTTGCTGACCACAGATTACCCTGGCCGCAGCCACAGGTCCACCCGACCCATCATCCGGCGCCAGGTAAAACTGAGTGTCCGTGCAGACCGACAAGCTTGATGGACCTGAAAGGCCGCAGAAACGGATGATGCGTTTTCTCTCCATTGGTCAGTGTCAATAACCACACTTGTTAAACGGGTATGGATAGGGACATTGTCAGACATGGCCAAGTAGCGCCCTCAATAGCGCTCGTGGATCCAAGCTGTTACCTCCAATGCATAGCTCCCTTGCGAAACTCCCCAATTAGCGGTCCACTGACGACCCTGTATTTACGCGTCAATTACATCAGCTACAGTCTCCAATGCGCATCTTTCAAATCCTCCTTCCCAAATCATCGGTGAACGGAACTGCAGCAGATATAACCACCGTAGGAAAATTAAGTGATTTTTACAGCTGTTGATGATTATATATGCCCCAGACGTTTGTTAGCACAGTCTGGCCCCTGTGTTCACTAACTTCTGGGCGTGTGAGAGTGCATGATGGGCTATCCAAAAGCGGCTCCACGAAAAAGTGGTGTTTGACAAGAATGTTAATTTTCTGTGTTCTTGTTCGACTTCGTCATCGCTGAAAGGTTCTTCAAAACCCCAGCGTCCAAGTCCTTGCCGGTGAGAACCTTGTTAATTTATTGTACGCAGACGACATGCTATTCGCCTATGAAGATGGGGCCATGCAAAAGCTCTGTCCATCAAACTGACCACGATCACACCACCTTTCGACATGCGCCTTGCATTCACAAAGTTAAAGTCATGCATCAGAATCTGCAGTATCTCAAAACACTCCTAACAATCAAAGGAGAATCACTGAAGTTTGTGCAGAACTTTACATATCCGGTAGTTGCATCACCTCTGACGGAAGTGTGTCTGATGAAGTTGGTGCACAAACCTCAAAGGTCCGAATCAGTTGTGGCGTCAAAAAGGCATATCACTAAGTCTCAAGGGTTGCGTGTACCAGGCTACAGTAAGAGCTGTATTGCTGCATGTTTGTGAGATATGGCCTATAAGGAGGGGCTATGTGGGGCGTCTTTGCATTTTTTACCACCGACGTTGCCGATTTTGGGTTATGTCAACTTATTCGTAACCAGGTAGTTTAAAAGACGCGTATTTTCTTCTGCTCCAGGTAATTCAATCGCGGAACACATTCAGTTCCATCAGGTACAGTGGCTCGGCCATATGCTACGTATGGCGATACAGCGCCTTCCTGTCCAACGTAACCCACGAAGTGTGAGTAATTCACATATCGCGACAGCTCCTTCCTAAGACCGTCGTCCGGTACACCTAAGCATTAGTAATCCGATGTTTCGTCGGAGAGCTAACAGCTGTTCCCACCAGACTCGACCAATGCTTCGGAAACACTTATATTCATTTACTGATAAGTTCTGTATGTCCTCTGCGAGCAGATTTAACGTTTCTCATCCATACAGCATGACCTCCGAGTAACTCGATGCGTGCGTTTGTGTTGGAAGTTCATACTGTCCAGGGACAGACTGTGACCAGCACACGACCGAAGTGGTCTCTCCCATTATCCGTACACTGAGCACCGACCCCAAAACTTACCACCTAGTTGTGATTCTTCCGAACTTAGCGTCTATTTTGGAATTCATATCACACGCTAAAATTACCAAATTCGTCATTCTTTCTGACCGAAACAGACACCACAGATTTTGATGAAATCTATCCCCCTTAGTCTCAGAACTGCAGTCAGTCGAAGCATAGCGCTTCAAGTATCTCAGCGAGCGAGGTGCAAAACTATCGGGCATTCATTCGATGACAAACAAGGGCTTTCGATCGCTTCTTTCTACACTAGGGAGGCGAGATGGCTCAGTGGTTATGCACGATTTTATTGACCGGAAGATTCGTGGTACGAAACCGACCTCTGCCCCTCGACTTCCCCTGTCTAGGCTTGGGCAGCCTGGCAGTATCCCAGTCATCGTGCTTCCATCTGGTGACATGGCATTTAGGCTCCGAAAAGGTGCTACAGTGGAGCAATTTTTTTCTGCACTCGAGCACGCTGGCAGTACATGAGTCCTAGCATTGCGCGAAGGTCATACACTGAAAGAAAATCATTGAGTTTTTATTTGACCTGACGGAAGCTCGATGGCTGAGATATTGCCAGATTGCCAAACTTAGACAACAGCAGTTAAGATGCAACGGTTGGTTTCAAAACACGGATTCTCCGGTTGATAAGTCACCTTCACAACCACTGAGCTATCTCGAACGCGCACTGAAAGGATGTCACGGTAAAAAATTATTTGTACTCAGGTCAGGGTTTTCTTACGACAATCAAGTTAAATTCGACCGTTGTCGCATTCACCTCACTCCACTTACTAGGTATTACACATACTAGTATGAAATTTTGTGACCGAAGCGACTTTTCAGATAAAGGATGAAAGGAATCAGATGATACCAAGTAGTAGAACAAGGGACGAGGACGCAGTTGAACTACAATAAAGGCAAAACCACTCGCAGGGTTGAGTGCACAAGGTGCTTCAACAATTACAATGAGTACAGTCATGGATAGGCAGGGTAATAAAGCTGTACCTTGGGGTGACATCAAAAGATTGACGGATTCCATTATGTCCAAGAAAAGTTCATTTCGTCTGTACTTTATGCCTTCGCGACGCCAACCTATTTGGCCTGTCACCTGATTGGTTATTTGGGCAGTCTCCTCCTTGGTAGCAGATCGCGTTCCTGCTTGGGTTATAAGCGTCCTCAGGGTACCTGTATCCGTATTTTGTGCATAGCCATAGTCGATGACCTCTGGAGAGATGGTTACTGTAACTTAGGACCATTACCATCAAGGATTTCATAGATCAACACAAAATTATTCTTGATATTCTCTTCGGTAACCCTACCGAAGTACTCTTTCATTACACAGAGCAGGGCATGCAGTAGTTGAAATACCATCGCTGCGTTCACATTCCGTCGCGCAACGGCACAAACCCAGATGTTTGCGCGCTTCACGTGGAAGAAACTAGTTCTTGCGATAATCGTGATGGGCGAGCGGACCTGCTGCCTTGCATGGATGACATTCACGCGAAAAGCATCAGCAGCATTGCGTGAAACATCATCCCTAAATATCCGCGATATTAAAACCTCTCCCTTGTGATTGTAAATGAACAAGCCTCCGATCATTGCAGTTCAGATGACGTCCAAGAACTGTACGTGCATTAAAGTAACACCACACGGAGTAGACAATTGACTCGGGCGCCGAAATGGCGGCGGCTTCGTCGAATACACGGGCACAGGTCTAGAAACTCGAATCCCTTATCATGTGTGATTGGATGTTTGTAATTCTACGAAGGTCGTAGGATTATTAAGGCAACTAATTGTGCGGAATTTCTCAGGAGGGGTGAACTAATGTTTTGCATTCTTCACTAATATGTCTGCGGTAGGTCGCCGATTACAAAGAGGAAACCAAAAATAAATTCTGTGGCGCACGGATTCACGGATTCACGGATTTACGGATTGATACACAGGATCGAGGCTTTTGCCCAAGTTTCCCGGGTCGGTTTTGTTCTTGTCTGTCAGTGGCTGCCGTTCACCTGAAAGGCACAAGTGAAAAAAGGGTGTAGCACTGCT